AACAGAAAAATAGAGATTTTTCTATTTTATCATCTGAAATTCCATAACAATTTTTTTACTCTTAAACATCTCTTATTTTGATTATTTAACAGCTTATTTCACTTTAAATACATAAATAAATATTGGATTTGTATAGATTGGAATGTTAATTTTCAGTTTGATAGGTCCTTTAACAAAAAGTATTTTTGAGTTTTAGATTAAATATTAATAGTTTATTCTTTCCTGCTTATAGCTCACAGCTAAATCTAATTGAAGGAATTTGGTATTTGTCCGCCTAATAGGTGTAAAAAAATAACAAAATAAATGCATTTAATTTTTAAAGAGATATATCCATGTATTATTTTAAGAGCCCTTTTATAATCAATTAATTGATAATTTATAATTTAGACCAATTATGATCTTTAGCTACTTGATCAAATTATTTGAGGTTGACTATGTGTAGATATTTAAGATGATATGCATCAAGAATTAATCTTTAATTGGCTTTGTGTCCTAATAAGGATGTGCTTAATCAATAGATCAGAATATTCAAGATTAAAGACAAAGACAAAAGACTTGAACAATGGGAGAGTTTCTGTATTCATCGACCTCTCCAATGTATACAAAATGATCAGAAGACAAGATATTTTCAAAATTCTCAAAGAAACTTCAATAAAAATGAAGTATAAATGCTCTTAAATTATACATTTATGATCCTATTACTAGATGTATTGTATGATGCAAGAATGGAGTTCAATAGGGATCTCTACTAGTACCATTCTTATTTGATGTTTACTTTAGCCGATTGATTTTGAATCAGAAAGAATAATAAGAGTGAAATTCATTTGTCATAAATTCAAAAAAAAATCACATCAAATTCTATTTTTATTTAAAGTTCCAAAGGTTTTTGCATATCCTGGATTTTACAGATAACTGAACTAAAGGCAAATACCTTGGGGGGGGGGGGTGTACAACACCTAGAGGGAATACAAATGAACAAAAAAATATATTAAGGATAAGTTAATTTTCTTAAGCTATCAACTTAAGAATCCAAATTGCATACTTCCACAAAGACAATGACCCTACTATGGCTCTCGTATATTAAACCTCATTTTGATTTCATTTCTTTAATGAAGAACTATGAAATTATAGAGATTGAAAAATTTAGACTGCTCTAACTAGGGGGTTTATAAAAATTCTTTGTCGACTAAACAACCGCAAACATTCTAATCAATCAATTGTCGAGAAATTCTGTTTGTAACCAATCGTTTCTCACGAAGTAAATAGATGTTAAAATTGCAAGTAATAAAACAAATTGATGGCTGAGGTGTAAAAGTCAAGTTGATGTGAAGATCTAAGAAAGGAAATGTGAAGGTTCAGCTCTGTCTGCGGAAGCAGATAAAATCAGGGAATAGGATAACTCCCTCGTTTAATAGTATCGCTTTCCAAAAGACTTTTCTCACAATGCGGATTACGGGAAAGAGTAAACCACAGGTGGATGAAATGTAAAGTCTTTTGATCATGTAAAAGGCATGACCCTAGATTGTATAAAAATTTTTTACCATAACAATTTATATTAATGATTGTACACAATAGTAAGCATTCTGTTTTATTGTATCCACAGATTAGAATTGTTGTATCATTTAAAAGTTTTATCAGCTTTCAATAAAATTGTGACATTTAGTCAAGAAGATTAGGTTCTTCTGAAGAAGATTAATCGATTTCAAATACTGGAGTAAAATTCATGGAGATTGAATAAAATATTTTAATTCAATTTTTTTTGGCATCAAACAATTTAAACTATAAAGTAAAAATATCAAATTATATATTGTAATTTTGCCATCACTGATGTAAGACAAAAATCTAACAAGAATAATTTAATACATATGATAATACAATGGATTCAGGCTTCAGGTACGAAATTAGCAGCAAGATATCTGAACTTGCTTGAATCAGTTGATAATACTCTAAAAAGTAATTTGTAAAAATTTGTGTAGACTTAGGAAATAAAAAAAGGTGATAGAATTTTAGTTTAAGCTTGAAGTATAATAACATGAACTTAATCATAATTAAACATCAGTTTTGGGATTAAAGAAATAAAAAATTGAATCATAATATTTCATAACAATTATGATATGCATTTACATGCATTCTATTATTAAAAAATATTAATTTATCTTAATGATAACAAGAAGTTTTCTAATTTTTCGTACGATATTTAAAGTACGACTAAATAAATAAAATAAATGAAATTTGAAGTAATGTTGATTATTTTAGGTGAATGAAGATTTATTAACTTTGAAATCAAGCTAATTGTTCTAAATGTAGTCTAAAATGAAGGTTCATTATCATCTAAATTTTTGAAAAGCGTTTATAAAGAAGGTTTTATAATTGTTCTATATAATGTTATAATTTGCAAAATCTTAAAAAATAAATATCAATTATGAGTAAATTAAAAAAATTGTCGATGATTTCCTCAAAAAACCAATTCTAGGGCTTACGCAATGACAATGATGAAGGCAAGGGGGATGGCTATAATGACCAGAGATATTGAAATAGGCCGTAAACCCTGCTGAGACTTCTGTCTTGGGGGAAGATTTTGATTTGTTAACTTGTAGCTGGAATATACAAATAAACTCTTTTTTTTTGAATGAGAAGAATCCTCTTAGAAATCGGAGCTTATATTTGGATCATCTAAGAAGGTAACATTTAGTTTAGACCAAAACTACAGATTAGGATTTAAATGGTACTGTAAGGAGTGGAATGGAAAATACCTCATGATAGGAATAATGAGATAGATCATGTAAACTTAAAATTCACTAGTAATAATAAAGTATTGGTTACTTATAAATTCTGTTTTGGGAACATCCATCAGACCATAGAAAAATAGGAATATAACATAACTCTTGGTACTCAAAATATAAACTTAGTATTATCGGGGCGGACATTGATTATGAAGCTAAGGAAAGAACTTAAATCATAAGATATGATAACTCAGATGATAACAAGGATGGCATAAATAATATTAATTGTATATTTATTCTCAAATTCAACAGAAATTAGCAGATTATATAAGATTTCATCATCAAAGAAACAGAAGATTTTATAAGGGAGCATAAACCCGTTATTGCAAGGATAAGGTTTACACAAGGGGAATCTATAAATTCCTAGTATTTAAATGGAAGTAAGGCCAGGGAAAACTTTTGTGAATGGAATGGGAAGGAAGAACGATTCTAACTTAAAGAGGAATAAAGAAATTTTATAGCTATGGGAGAATATAGACTGAGAGAGGATAGGTTAATTTCCATTTAGACATCAAAATATCTCGAAACGGGACGAGGTATCCATATATAATGGACATGAGAATAATC